CAAAGATCTCTGAATCCCCATTAAGGTTGAGGAAGGTGGGATTTTATAGCTAAAACAAAACAGGGGACAAAATTGGAATTCCTCCTTTTTATTTTGGAATTGCCGCCCCTCTTAGATAATTGCCGTACGCCACATTTTATTTTATTCCAATGCACCGCCTTTTGCTTTAAATTGGAACTTCAGCTGCCCACTTGTAATTCAGCGCCAATGGCGCTGTGCCTCTTGACTTCGACGTGCCATAGTAAATGTTGCAATTTTTAATTGGCATACTGCCAAATCTCGACGCGTCCAATCTTCTGGGCTCAATTTGTCCATTTTTGGCTCTAAACTCGCCCTAGAACTTTCTTTACTCTCGTACTTGACCTATAATAATTCCAAAACACTAACAAACACCGTAAAACATTCAAAACAAGTGCGAACCATGCCTAAATAATAAAACAAAGGATTATGCAATTAAATTACTAAAATCATGAACTCAAGCCTAACAAATAATATCAAACCAATACTAGAAATATGTATAATTAGATTCACATCAACTCCCCCACACTTAAGCCTTTGCTTGTCCTCAAGCAAAACCAAGAAATAAATCACAAGTCTAGCATACAAGTTACTCCTACTCTCTCATGCACAACCTTTCAAACCACCAAACAACTTGCAAGAAAACAACAAGCTTCAAGAATCAAATTAGCTTGGCACATAAGACCCATTCTCAAGCCAATAACCAAGCACAAAGAGTTTATTAAAGTGTGTGAGGATCAAGTGTGCACAAATACTCAGTTGAGATTATGCAAAACACGGCTCATGAATGAGATCCCATAGGCTTGCCCTTCATACTCCCCTAGCTCAAATCTAAGAATGCATGCTAAGATCAAATATGATTTTATTTAGCTTTTAATGGGGCTACGGGTGATGGCTAACAAAGAAGTGGTATGGAAAATTAATCAAAAAGAGAGAATGTCACAATTATCAATTCTTTCAAAACTTTGGAAGAGATGAGATAATCACAATTTCAAGGAGAAAATTTCTTTTAAGAACATAGCAACTTCTTCGGTGAAGTGGGGGTCCAAAATCAACAACTTTCAATCATTCTCTTATTCTTTTCTTTTCTTTTTCTCATCTTTTCTTTGATTCTTTTCTTTGGATTTATTTTGAATACATCAAGACAATTTTAATCCAATCAATCAAACTCCCCCACACTTGAACATTTGTACAACAACTGCTTTTTGGCACAACTCTATAAAACTCTTCTACAAGAATATTAAAGATAAAAGTTCCATTCTCTCAAGGGTGGAAGGATAAACATTTGGCTAAGGGCTAAAGGTTAAATAACGAGGGTAACACAAATAAAAATAATCACAATGAGGGGATAAGTGCTTAGCACTTATTTAAACAAACGAGAGGCACAATGGGGACACAAAGGATAAAAACATATGTAAGGACATGTTTAAAGGCTATGACTAAACAAAAATGGCCTAAATCACTTCAAAACATGCAATACCTAGACTTCACTTAGGGAGTAATGAGGCAAGTTCTAGCAAAACACCCATGACCGGAATCTCACATAAGCTTCACTAGCAATGCATAACACACAAGATCAAGAATTAATCCAATTATTAAGTGGTTAATAAAGCTATTGGCAAGGAAATAGATCAATTATGTATTACATCTCAAATCATCAATCACAAATTGCACCACTAAAACAAACCACAAACCAACAAGAGAGAGTAATTGCAATTGCATGCTGAGACAAATAACTTATTCACCAAAAGTAACATAAGAGTCATCCAAGCAAAAGTAAAAATTTTAAAAATATCCCCAAATTAATGACTCTTCCCCCACACTTAAAAATTTGCATCATCCTTGATGCAAAAACAAAGGAAAAGAGAACAAGAGAAAAGAGAAAGCAAAAATAAACGAACTAGAAAGCAATAAAACTAAATAAGAATGAAACTAGAAAGCAATAAAACTAAATAAAACCAAAACTAAAAAGCAATAATTAATGCAAAATAAAAGATAACATGGGGTGCCTCCCATGAAGCGCTAAGTTTAATGTCGCTTGCTCGATGTAACCTCATTATTGAATGCTCATCTTGGTTGTTTCGCAAGGTTGTCCTCATCCTACCTCATTAGATGAAGCATGTTGCATGAACTTTTCTCCTTGAAAGCATTAAATTCCACTTTTTCTTTCCCAAAGTATAAAGTCATTGATCCCTTCCTTGCATCAATTAATGCTCCGGTTGTGGCCAAAAAAGGTCTCCCCAAGATGAGTGGAATGTCTGGATTCTCTTGAGCATCTATTACAATGAAATCACAAGGGACAAAATATTTGTTCACACAAACTGGAACATCTTCAAGTATACCAACAACGCTTGTAGTAGACTGATCCGCCATGAACAATGTGAGTTGGATTGGTTTAGGATCTCCCAAATTTAGCTTCTTACAAAGCGAAAGAGGCATGGCACTGACACTAGCTCCAAGATCACAAAGAGATCCCTTTAAAGGACGGCCTCCAATAATACAAGGAATTGTGAATTTCCCTGGATCTTTATATTTAGTTAATCTCCTCCGAATTCATGGTGTCAAAGCCCTATACTTTTGTGCCATCGCAATCATCTCATGTTCCCCATATTTTCTCTTTTAGCAAGTATATCTTACAAGAATTTTCCATAAGAGGGGTCTTGGGAAAGCAAATCAAGTAAAGGGATAGAAATTTTCAAATTCTCAACTATTTCTAAAAATTTTTTCCATCTACTTTCTTTTGCTTGCTGCTGAAATTTTTGAGGAAATGGCAAGGGTGGTTCATACCTTCTCACAAGCTTCTTTCCTTCATCAATGACTTGTGGATTATTTTTCATAACAGTTGGCTCAACTTCTACTTCATCAAGTTTCTCTTCAATCTCCTCTTCAATAGTTATATTTGGAGCTGGCGTTTTGGTTGGAAGAGATGGCTCTTCAAGTACCTTTCCACTCCTAGTAACGATTGCATTCACATGTTCCCTTGGATTTTCAGTACTAGCTGGCAACTTTCCCTTGACTCTTGTATTAGATGTAGAAGCTTGATTTGCAAACATCTTGTTGTGGGCACTCAATTGGTCCAACCTCTCAGTCATTTGTTTTATTCTCTCCTCACTTTGCATTTGGGATTTCAAAAACATACTCATCATGACCTCCAAATTAGGTTGTGAGGAGCTTTCAAAGTAGGTAATGGGGGTCTAGGTTGAGATTGTATACCTTGGAAACCTGGTGGACCTCTATTGCCATACTGTTGAGTATTCGCAGCCCCCATTTGATTACTCTATGAAAATCCTGGGTGGTTCCTTGCATTGTTTGGATTATAGGCCCCTTGATATTGGAAAGATTGCTATAGTGGTCTATTATATCCAACTAAATTAACTTGTTCCATGGGATATTGAGAATTTGAATTATTGAGATATTCTCCCAAATTATGCACACCACCACAAAGATCACACATTAAAACTTGAGTAGAAGGAATAAGGGGAGTAAAAACATAACTTACAGCTTGATTTTTCAAAGTGACTTGAGCAAGTTTTTGGACTAAAGAAGCAACATTATCCACCTTAGCTGATAAAACAGAAATTTGCTCCACTTCATGCATTTCTCTTACATGTTTTTGGGAGGATCTCTCCGAGTACCAAGTGGATCCATTCATTGCTATTTTCTCTAATAGTTCTTGGGCATGTGTTGGTTCTAAAACTATGAAAGAACCCCCCGAAGAAGCATCAACCAAAATTCTTGAATTATCAAGTAACCCTTCATAAAATGCCATCATTAAATCCCAGCTCTGTATCCCATGATGTGGACATTGCCTTTGCAGCTCCTTAAATCTTTCCCAAGACTCAGTTAAAGACTACTTGCCAACAGCTTGAAATTTTGAATTGCTCTTCTCATCTTGGAAATTGGATAAAACTTTTTCAAAATCTCCCTGCGTAATTGATCCAAGTGTCAAAGTCGTTGTCTGGGAGTGATATGAGCCAACTATGAGCTTTATTCCTTAGTGACAAGGGAAAAACCTGAGCTTGATTGCTTCTTGAGGCACACCATTGATTTTGAAGGTGCCACAAATATGGAGGAACTTTGTGATATGAGAATTGGGATCCTTCGTGGGTGACCCTCCAAATTGATCTTAAGTCACCATGTGCGAGATGGCTGGCTTGATTTCAAAATTGTTAGCATCCAATACACTTGGAACATTGATGCTATCATGTTCCTCAACATCCGGAGAGATGTAATCTGACATGGATCTTGCTGCGGGTGGGGGTTGATTATTTCCAACGTTTCCCCCAACATTGACCTGATTTTGTTCCTGAGCCATCCTTCTCTGTTTTCTAAGTAACTTGGCTTGCTTTTCAGTCTCAGGGTTTAAAGGCAATAATCCTTCACTTCCCGAAGATCGTGTGCACATAAAAACCAAGTTCTTAGATTCAAAGCAAAACCACACTCAACAAAAGCAACTCGTTAACGGTTAGCAAAAAAATAAAAAATAAAAATAAAAATGAACTAGACTCCTAGAATAACACTTTTGCCAATGTTAATATTAAACGTCACTTCCCCGGCAACGGCGCCAATTTGATTGCAGTATATTTTCAAACAAATAAACTCTGAGTAACGAGTTATTGATCCACGGGGAAGTGGGGTATTAAGCACTAGCTACTAAATTATTCTTTTGAAGCAAATCCTAATGAATATGATCGAAGGGTGCAAATAAATAAATAAAGCAAAGTAATGAATCAGGGTTTTGAAAACAATAGAGAGAGAATGAGATTCCTGGGACTCAAGTGTTTAATCCCCTAGTGCCTAACCTAATGCAATATTAAATTTGAGTTTAAACTAGTGTGAGAATGCAAAGATGTTATGGAGTTACTCCCGTTGTGACACCCCAGAAATTCATCCCTCAAACCCAAATTAATTATTTAATTAATTCCTAATTACCCTTATAATCCTTTTTATAATTTAGCCTTGAATTTAGTTAGGGGATTTAGTTTGACCTAAATCCCTTAGCCTTTTCATTATGGTCAATGGGTTGGACCTTATGTTATAACTTTGGACCCTAACTTTTATTTAAAGGAAGCCTTTCTAGCCTTTTGTGATATTAATGAAGGGGCTCACTTATAACCTTTTAGATTTTACCTTAGCATTGAAACCCTACCATAACCAAAGACTCTCCAAACATTTAAACTTTACTACATCTCTCTATCTCTCTCTTGCCATTCTCTTCTCTCCCTCACTACCCAAAGAGTTCTTCACCTTCCTCTACCTAGAAGACCATCAAGTTGGCACCTTTCTTCATCACCAAGTTTAGGAGGGGTAAGTAATAGGAGTTTGAAGTCTTATTCCTTGGTTTTGCATATTCTTTATCTAAGTTTACTCTTATGTTTGTTGGGTTTTTGGGTTCTTGTGTTGAAGACCACTTGGAAGGAAACTCACAAGAGTAGGCTAGGGAGTTGAAGGATTTTTGGATAAGCTAAGAAGGTAACCCATGTCCTACAAAACCTATTTCTCCTTGCTATTTTGATTTCTTGATGCTCTTGAGTGATGAAATGCATATTCTTGTGTTTATGCTTTTGTAGAGCTTGTATCTAGGGTTCTTGATACTATTTGTTGAGCTATTTCTTGTATTCAAGTCCCTCTTGTTGTTCATGTGAGTATTGAAGTGTTTGGACTTGAATTTGAACATTCTTGGAATTTTTCTCGAAGTGGGAATTTCTTCTACAGGTTCGTACCAGCGGGGGCCTGGCGGGCACTTCACCACCCGCCAGTACCGCCCGTGGGTACAGGTTGGGATGCAACGGGGGTTCGGCGGGTAGTTCACCACCTGCCGAAACCACCCGCTGGTACGGGTGGGAATTTTGGCGGGTAGTTTGCCACCCGCCGAAACCACACACTAGTACGTTGATTCTTGGCTTCCGTTTTGTTGACCTATTGTGTACTTGTGTGTATTTATTGTTATCTCGTAAGTCTAGAGCGATGTCTTAAGTATCTTTTGGTAGGATTTGGAGTCTTGAATTGTGGTTGTAATCTAATATTGTGATTCGTTGGATTCTAATGAAGTTTATGTTGTTCGTATGAGCTTTTGTGGCTACCTTGTTGGCTTGCATACTAGTTACGTTGCTTATTGGTACTAGTATGTCATTTCCTTGTGATAACATCTTGATTCTTGATTGAATTGGTACTTGAGCCTATCTATTCGTTGTAAACCTTTGATTGGAATCTTTGATATCGTTGTGTAGCCTTTGGAATATCTTATTCGTATCTCTTTGGTGAATTCCTTTCATTGAGATCTTTCGTTGTGAACTTGTATATTCGTTGTACCTTATCCTTGTTGATTCTTCGATTGAGCTATTGTTTAAGCTTATCCATTGTGATACACAATTCATGTGGAATCTATGCTTTGCTTTGTATCTCTAGATTCCTTATGTATTGACTTTTGTTGTGTTGATTGAGTTGTTGTAATAGATAGTGGGGCTTTACTTTTACCGGGATTCGAGATAATGGTATATTTGAATCGGGACTAGATCCCCACGGATGTTACTGAATCAGGACTTCGAGTCCCCGCGGAAAGAATGAATCGGGTCCTCTGACCCCCTGGAAACCATAATTGGGACTTAGTGTCCCCGCGGAAATCTCTAATCGGGTCTATAACCCCGCGTAATCCATACTAGGGTCATTTGACCCTGTGGTACATATTAGTTCTAGGCCCTCACCCTGTCCTCTTGATTCGAGACGTTTGGTGACTCCGTGGTGAATGACTTGGTTTGGCTATGTCCTTTGTGGATTTTGAACCTTGTCGGTGATTGATTGATTGTGTTATTTGTGTTGAGAACCATCTTGTTGATGATTATGCTTATCTTAGCTTATTCGTTATCTCTTGATTCGTTATCTCTACTTCTTGAATTGATCTATATCATTGGTTATCTCTTGATTGTTATCTCTATCCTTTGAGTTGATTCGTATCGTTGATTCGTAGTTTTGAGTGGTATTGTGGAGTACATTCTTTGTATGGTCGGTGTATTGCTTCTACTCCTTGTGATTTGTAAAGCTAGAGTTGCTAAGGCTATACTTGTGTATTCCCAAGTCTCAAAAGAGTTTTCATCTATAAAGTATATATTATGTATTTTAACGCGTTGAAGTGGGTTACTTAGCAATTTTCGCTAACGGTTGTTATACTTTATGTTTTCAGGTTCTTAGTTGGTCCGTGAGTGCGGTTAGTTGGAGCCGGCTTAGATTTGATTCCCTTTTCCTTAGTTTAGTTGTTTCGGCCTGCGTGCCCTTGAACTATGATATTTTGGTTAGTGTTTTGGTAAAGCTTGTGCAACTAGGTTTGGAGAATCTAGTTGTGGCTTAACATCCCTTAACTATGTTTAGCTTCCATCGAATTTTAATATGATTATGGTTAGATGTTGCTCTTTTCTCTAAGTTGAATGCCTTATTTTATGATTAAGTTTTGGGGGTGTTACACCCGTAATTTCTAACCCCAGCGAATATCCACTCCCGTGATATAAATACCCAAGAAGAACAAGATCAAGCATTCATAATTAATTCCTAACTACTACCATCTCTCGATGTGCAATAATCAAGAATTAAACTCCGTAACATATATGCCTCTCCCAAGGTGCAAAAGTTAAGTGCAATTATGTGAACTCTCAATTATGCCTAACTCCTGTTATGACATAAACAAAGTAATGAAACAAGTAATTCGGGCCCTGAACTACTAGTAATAACAATAATAAACACAATTGCAACACAAGTTTAAAACCCAAATAATAATATGTTAAAGAATCTAATAGCACAGGCACATAGGTTCATAAACACTTTTTACCCAAGAATCTCTAGTGGAATTTAGCCAAGCATGACTAAAATATACATAGCAAAGTATAATAAAGAAATTACAAATTATCAAAAGAGTACAAGATTGGACCAAACGATTTTTCCAAATCTCCCTAGCTTTCTTCTTGCTTCCCAAGACAACTTGTGGCTCTTAATTTCTCTCTTTCTTGTCTCCAAAGATCTTTGAATCCACATTAGGGTTGAAGAAGGTGGGATTTTATAGCTAAAACAAAACAGAGGACAAAATTGGAATTTTTTTCCTTTTTATTTTGAAATTGCCGCCCCTCTTAGATAATTGCTGTATGCCACCTTTTATTTTATTCCAATGCAGCGCCTTTTGCTTTAAATTAGAAATTCAGTGCCCACTTGTAATTCAACGCCAATGGCGTTGCGCCTCTTGATTTCGACGCGTCGAAGTAAATGTTGTGATTTTTAATTGGAATACTGTCAAATCTCGACGCGTCGAGTCTTTTGGGCTCTAATTTGTCTATTTTTTGCTCCAAACTCGCCCTAGAACTTTCCTTGCTCTCGTACCTGACCTATAATGGTTCCAAAACACTAACAAACATCGTAAAATATTCAAAACAAGTGCGAATGATGCCTAAATAATAAAACAAATGATTGTGCAATTAAATTAATAAAATCATGAACTCAAGCCTAACAAATAATATCAAACCAATACTAGATATATGCACAATTAGACTCACATCAGCAACCAATCTTGTGACTCCAGATATTGCTGCCCTATCTACGCTTGAGCAGTATTTTGGTAATGACATGCTACGTGTCAGTGACAGTATGTGTTTATCTATTAGTCGTGTTGTTCATGCTTCCTTTAATACCCCCGTCTAGGTCTTTTTAATGATCAAATATCCTTCATGTTCCTAATTTGTCTACATCTTTATTGTCTGTTTATAAATTTGCATTAGATAATAAGATGTTTTTTTGAGTTACACCCGTCTTTTTTTTTTTTTTTTGTTTTTTTTTTTTTTTTGTTTTTTTTTTTTTTTTTTTTGTTTTTGTTTTGTTGTGAAGGATATCAATACCAATAAAATTCTTCTACGGGGCAATAACTCTAGGGGTCTATGCACGTTGCCTATCTCCAGTTTGTCTCCTACCGTGTTCCTCTCTGCTCATGCATCTGCGTTAGTTTGACATGATCGTCTGGGCCGTCCACACCATCGTGTCCTTCATCGTATTCTTCACTCTTGTTCGGTTAGTGGGTCTAGTGATATTATTTGTTGTAATTCTAGTTTATGTAGTGCATGTCAATTGGGTAAATCTGCGCGTTTCCCATTGCCACGCGTTGAGTCGTCTAGTTCCAATATTCTCGACTTAATATAACAAGATATTTGGGGTCTAGCTCTTTTGTTGTCTAATGATGACTATCGTTATTTAGTTATTTTTGTGGATGATTATTCTCGCTATACTTGGTATTTTCCCATGAAATCAAAATATGATCTCTACCTTTGATAGGTTTCATACTATGGTTGAACGTTGTAGCACCCCTAATTTTCAAAACTTTCAAAACTTTCAAAACTTATGGAATAAAGGCAATTCTATTATTAATTCTCAAATAGAGCATAAACTAGACGTAGTGGTTGGGGTGCTATGCCACATCTGAGCTGGAGAACTCAGATACACAGGCTAAACTAACTAACAAAGCATAAACCATAACTAATACCCAAATACAAATCAAGGCACGCAGGCCATCTCATCCAGGCTAGAACTACCTAAACTAAGTCCACGAATCCAACTAGAGCGCTCCGAAGCTATCCGTCTATACCTGAAAGCCAAATAATATATGTTCAACGAATAATGCTGGTAACCCACTCCCACGCGTTAAGTACAATATAGGTAGATATATGGAAAACCATTTTGAAACCGGAATACATATATAATCCTGAGGAACTCTAATTTAAAACCGAGAACAGACTCAACAAGCAATAGCAGATACATTCAATATAACCAAACATAAAGATTCTAACATGCATCCTAAGGTCGCAAGACTACTCAGTACCAATCATATCATTATTCAGTCATCATCACACAATAAACAACAAGACACGTAATGGTGTACACACATATGGTGGTGCCGCAGGACCAATCACATGCCCATACATGAGGGTCAGCGCATATAGCTCTGACACGGCCCCGCAACACTTTACTTGTACCGCAGCACAAGGAGATTGATCGCAACCAATCAATGAACCACAACTCATTTGTAACATAAACGTTTGATCGCAACCAAACGGTGGACCGCAGCCCTATTATCATATATGTCTGATCGCAACAAGATTATGGACCCCAGCCCTATATATATATATATATATATATATATATATATATATATATATATATATATATATATATATATATATATATATATATAAAACAGCCGATTGTTCTCAACCAATCCAATTGTCTGTATAGTCGACTGATCGCAATCGGCCGGGTTAATACCTAGTGGTTCTCAACCCACCAGATAGTCATTATAGCCAATTGATCGCAACCAATTGGGTTATCATGCACAACAACATAGAAGCCAAACAACATGCAACCCACATTAACACATAACGAGGGGAAACACTCGGGGAACACGTAACCCATCATAACTCATATGTAATAAACTACATTAACCCACCCATGACACTCCTACGGGATCATACACCTTCCTCATAGGCCAACGGGATACCAATTCATCTAGCATGTAATACCCAAGACTCTTTTGTCCTAAGAACGGTACCGATACATCAAACTTGATTCACACACGACAAACGGGGTACAATGGGATACAACGGGACACGGGGAAACAACAAACGGGGGAAAACATCACGTCCTACACCATCTTTCACCCGCCGGCGGCGGACTACAAACCAGCGGGTGCCCGGTGGGCAGTCGCTTGCCTGCCGGCTGTCCGCTGGGGGTTGGGCAAGGGGCAGTAGGACCGTGGCGGGCACCCCTGCCCCCACCTACCCCCCACTGATTCACATGTAATATTTTGGTCCCGGGATCCTTCGTGGAACCCGAAACCATGTCCAGACACATTCAAACACAAACGACAACACCACGTATTCAAGTAACGAAATTAAACCAAGAATCACACAAAATACACCCTAACACGATTCCTAAACATGCCAATACTCAACACCCGATCATGCAAAATTCCACCCAAACATACCAAGAATAACATAATACGAAATCCACGTTATTACCTTAGGGCTCTAGACATAATCAAAATACCAGATCATCCATATAATTTATCATAGTATCAGGAACATCAAGATTATCACATAAGCATCAAGATTAACACGTAAGCATCAAGATTATCGTATAAACACAATATAAACCCTAGGCAAAGCTCTATCAAGACTCAAGCACAGAATCATATATCAAAGGAGCCAATGAATAAGATATAGCAAGGAAAATAGGTTTTGTTGAGACATGGGTTACCTCTTAGCCTTAATTAATCCTCCATTGGCTATTAAGGTTCTTCTCTAAGATTTTCATCCGTTTGATCTCCCTAGGCTTGGTGGTAGGGAAATCTCCTGGGAATAATTTCGTGTAATATAACTATGGGTGGTAAGGGTTCTAATTCCTTTCTAATCCCCTATTTATAGAGTTAGGAATCCTAATCAGAGTCTGAATTGTAAAGACCTATATTCTATTCCTAACAGGTATATAGCCCTAGGATCCCTAATTAGAATATGAGTAGTAAAGACCTAGTATCTTTATTCCTAATAGGTCTGTGATTCCTAATTAGAATCTGAATAGTGGAAGGTCCACTCTCTTTATTCCTAATAGGCTTAAGACTCTAGTTTAGGTAAGGGTACACGATCCATGGGGACCACATTAATTAATTAAAGGGAATCATAACCAAATTAAATCCCTTTTTAATTATTACTAACGGAATTAATTAAATAATTAATTCGGGATTGAAGGCCGTAACACGGGGTGTTACAAACGTTCTTTCAATAGAAAAATTAAATCTATTCAATTTGATCTAGGGACTGAATACAAAAAATTGCACTCTATCTTTGATCAGCTAGGAATTGTTCTTAGACTATCTTGTGCCTATACTCATGAACAAAATGGCCGTGTTGAACGGAAACATAGGCATATAGTTGAAACATGCCTAACTTTTTTGGCTCGCGCTTCTTTTCCATCTAAATTCTGGGATTTTGCTTTTGAGACTACTGTGTATTTGATCAATAGAATGCCATCTAATGAATTAAATAACTCCAGTCCTCATCTTATGCTGCATAAATCCCCTCCGTCCTATTCCTTTCTTTGTGTCTTCGGGTGACTACGTTATCCTTATTTGCGACCATATAATCGTCACAAAATATCCTATAGGCCTTCTCCGTATGTCTTTCTGTGTTATCCTGACTCGTTCCGGGGTATAGGTGCATGGAATTACAGACTAATAAGATTTATGTGTGCATGCATGTGCGTTTTGATGATGCGGTTTTCCCTTTTGCTATTAAAAACATTTTGCATGCATAACAAACTCCGCGAAGCATTCCATGGGTTGAGTCTATGCTTCAGCACGCTGCCACTGTGCTGGTTGCGCCAGAACAGCCTATTGGCAAAGCCGTTGCGCCAAAGCAGTCCACTGCCGTGACAGTCGAGCCTGAGCAGTCTGAACACCAGCCAGACAAGGTACCGCCAGTAGCCGCCACTGCACGACCTCGTAGCTGATTGCGAGGAAAATCTTTGAAACCCACCACCCGGACTCACGCGATGGATACTCGCAGTCGGTCTCGGGCCCCTCCCACAACTTTGACTGCTTTGGTTTGTCCTACAGATCCCACTTGCTACACGCAGGCAATTAAATATCCAGAGTGGTGTGAGGCCGTGGATCAAGAATTTAACGCCCTACTGTAGAATCAGATGTGGTGTCTTGTGCCTTCTTGGGCAGATATGAATGTTATTCGGTGTAAATGGATCTTTTGCACAAAACGAAAGGCTGATGGATCAATTGAAAGACACAAGGCGAGGTTAGTAGCAAAAGGGTTTAATCAGGTTCCTGATCAAGATTTTTTTGACACATTCAGTCCCGTGCTTAAGCTTACTATGGTTAGATTGCTTTTATCTTTTGTTTTATCTTCTGGTTGGGTTATTAGGCAACTTGATGTCCACAATGCCTTTCAGAATTGAAATCTGTCTGAAACTGTGTATATGAAGCAACCACCTAGTTATATTGATGCTCAGTCTCCTAACCATGTTTTTTGTATGTTAAAACGTTCCTTGTATGGTCTAAAACAGGCTCCTAGAGTGTGGTTTAACCGCCTACATTCGTTTTTACTATCTGTTGGGTTTCAGGCTTCAAAGACATATGTGTCTTTATTTTATTACTCACAGGATTCCGCTTATGTGTGTCTTTTGGTCTATGTTGATGACATACTTGTGATGTGCAGTGATTAGAATCTAGTAACTCATTTACTGTCAAAATTATCTTCTACTTTCAAAATTAGGGACCTTGGTGAACCAGGTTTTTTCCTTGGCATTGAAACTGTTAAATGTGATGATGGGATCTTACTGTCTCAACAAAGATATATGAATGATACTTTGAAACTTGCTGGGATGGCGGAATGCAAGCCTCTATCTACTCTTATTCCTGTTTCAAAATTTGTCCCATTTAGTGCAGATTTTTATGATGATCCTACGCAGTACAGGAGCCTGGCTGGAGCATTGCAATACCTCACCATCACGCGACCTGACCCGTGTTTTGCGGTTAATCAGCTCTGTCAGCATATGCATGCTCTTACAGAATCACATTGGGAGCAACTAAAACGTGTGTTGAGGTATGTTAAAGGAACAATTACTTTTGGATTGCATATAAGGAAGTCAGTGTCAAAAGAACTTCATGTTTTTTCTGATTCTGACTGGGTTGGTTGTCTTGAAGATCGTAAGTTTACTAGTGGTTATGCTGTGTTTCTTGGGTTCAATCTTGTGTCTTGGGTTTGCAAGAAACAAAGAACTGTTGCTAGATCTTCCACTGCTACAAAGTTCTAGCAAATGTTTGTGCCGGGGTAATATGGATTCTTTCGCTGCTCCGTGAGATCAACGTGCCGGGTATCCCTATTCCCAAATTATGGTGTGATAATATTGGTGCTACATATATGTGCGCAAATCCCATATTTCATGCACACACCAAGCACGTGGAGATTGACTATCATTTGCTTCTAGAGACATTCAAGTCAATTTTATTTCAACCAAGGATCAACTTGCAGACATCCTGGTCTTAGATTTTCTTAGAAAAAGCTACATTTCTAGGGGGTATTAGGACGCTCTGTATTTGATTTAGATTATGACTCCCTATCCTAGTCTTCATGTGATTCTCTTATATATATATATATATATATATATATATATATATATATATATATATATATATATATATATATATATATATATATATATATATATATATATATATAGAGGGACGCACTCAGGTGCGAATAAGTGCCCAGGAAGGAAATGCGAACGAATCAGCGCGTGACACGTGTCCAGATCTAATAACTTAAAAAAAAAACGCGGTGGCATTTTCATAAATAATTGAACATCGAAGTGCAAGTAAAATCTCTTATAAGTGCACCTATTTTCACCTATAAGTGCATGTAATTTTGCCTTATTAGCATTCACTTTCCGCAACCCTTCATGCACCTGGGTGTGCTTATAACTATATGTGCAACTATTTATAACTATAGGTGCAATTACTTATAACTATATGTGCACCTACTTTCACCTATAAGTGCATGTAATTTTGTCTTGTTAACATTCATTGATCTGAGTTCAGCGGGTAGTAATACTCCTGAAAACCACTCGCAAACATTCATACACCTAGATGCAACTACTTATACCTATGTGTGCAACAACTTAGAATTATAGGTGCAACTACTTAGAACTATAAGTGCAACTAAGTATTGATGCTCAGTGTAAATTTTTACTTGCACCTATAATACATTTTACATGCACTTGTAATACATTTTACTTGCACTTCGATGTTCAATTATTTACGAAAATGCCACCGCGTTTTTTTAAAAAATCAGTGTTTCTCATCCATTATATCTGGACACGTGGACGAACAGAATCCATTCCTATTTCGCGCCTGGGCGAGCCGTTCGCACCCGAGTGCAACTCTCTCTCTCTCTCTCTCTCTATATATATATATATATATATATCTACTATACTAATAAGAGCCTAAGAGAGTTAGGCCTATAATGGGTAGAAAAAATGGCGGTCAAGTTTTTTAATCAAATGAATGGCTCAGATTGATCAGATTTTAATTTTTCCTTAAGATTTCCTAATTTATCCTTAATGAATGTGATTTTCCGTTAACTTTTCCGTTAAATATTATCTTTTCCGTTAATTTCTGTTAGTTCACCGTTAACTTACTCATTGATTTTAATAAGAATTTAAAGGTCTTAGGTTCGAACCTCATCCCAATCAAAGTTGGCATAATTAAAACTCTATTTTACTCTTATTAAATTAATTAAAAATAATAATTTAGTAGCTACAACAAAAAACAATACATATCATTTTTTAATTTAGAATTATGCGTCTACAATGCCTTTATTCAAAAAAAATTATTCATTATCAATAAATTAAATATGAGAAATAATTTCATTAGTTATATTGTATTTATTTTTCTCCAATATAAAAATTCTTTATATTCAAATTTATCAATTGATTATATTTGCTACATTGTCCCTACAATGTCTTTATTAAAAAAAATAATTCATTATTAATAAATTAATTAAGAGAAATAATTTTATTAGTTATATTGTCTTTATATTTCTCCAATGTAAAAATTCTTTACATTCAAATTCATCAATTGATTATATTCACACATTGTCTATTTTTTGTGCACTATTTTTTTAATTAAATATCAAAGTTATAATACAAAATAATGCTATATATTTATTTACCAAGTATTTTATTAATACCATGAAAAAATTAAAAATATAATTAATAAAGCTAATCATATTAATTACTTGAAGGATTTGTTGACAAAGAGACTATTCAAATCACACAACAAATTGAAGTGAAAACAACTTCGCAATATCCTTGTTTGACAATCAGCAGTTAGCGGTTAGCTTTAGCGGATTATATTAGCGAATTTGACCAGCGAATTATATCAATGGTTGGTAAAAAGATATTTGAAAAAATTAATTGTTTATATTAACATGTAAAATGACCTAAGGGTATGATGATATAATAATAATAATAATAATAATAATAATAATAATAATAATAATAATAATAATAATAATAATAATAATAATAATAATAATAATTGTTTTAAAAAAATAAAAAAATAAAAAATATAATTAAGTCAATCATATTAACTACTTGGGAGATTTATTGACAAAAAGAGTATTCAAATCACACAACAAATTGAAGTGGGAAACTATCTCGCAATGTCCTTGTTTGGCAATTAGTAGTTAGCTCTTCAATATTAGTATCTACGGAGTATTTAATAATTTATGCCCTAATTTTTATTTTCTCTCTCTTATGTCCTGTATTTGGTTTCAACCATACCTATACAATTATTTTATTGACAACTATAATCAATCTTGACTATATTATCTTGCATTTGTAAACTTAGAATTGCCTATTTAAATACACAAATTTAACATTCAATTATCTATGCATGAACAATTCCAATATAATCTTGCATTGATATACTTTAAAATACTTATTTTAAAAAATATTGGGCATTATCTCAATCGTGCAATGCGCGTAAAAAACTAGTATATATATATATATATATATATATATATATATATATATTGAATGCTACTGACTCTATTACATTATAGTATCTGTTCAAACATAATTTTTCAACTTAATGAAGTACAAAGAGTCAACAACGCCTCCACTGAGGCTCGATCTCATGACCTCCTATATGAGATAGGTCACTACATGCCATATTTATATAGTCTGTATCTACCATAATCAACCCATTGAATTGTACAGTTCTCATTATTAAAACACAGGAAAAAAAAAAAAAGAAGAAGAAGAACTATGTTACCCATACAGTGATAACAGTGCTGGATTAAATAATTTTGCCTCAATAATTATATGGTGTATGCGAGATGAGAACTGATTGTATTGTATTTTACTGAACTTAATTACAATGAGATCAGATGATGTGAATACATAGAGTAGAGAGTCACAGTGTGACAATGATAAGAAGTAGAGAGTCACAGTGTGACAAGGATAAGAAGTTCTAAACAGACTCATATACATAGAGTCCTAATACTCCCCCTCAAGCACAGTGTATACTAGTAACCTGTAGCTTGTCCCTTAAGGAAGAAAATCTAGGTCCAGGCAGAGCTTTGATGAAGATATCAGCAAGTTGATCCTTTGTGGAGATGAAGTTGACTTGGATGTCGCCCGAAGCTACTCGATCACGAACAAAATGATAATCAATCTCTACATGCTTGGTGCGCGCATGAAAGATTGGATTGGCACTCATATATGTAGCTCCTAGATTATCACACCATAATTTTGGAATGGAAATACCCGGAATCTGTATCTCACGCAGTAATGACATAATCCATAGAACCTCAGCACAAACATCTGCAAGAGCTTTGTATTCAACCTCAGTGGATGACCTGGCAACAGTTCTCTGTTTCTTGCAAACCCATGATATAAGATTACTCCCCAAGAAAACAGCAAAACCACTCGTGGATTTTCGATCGTCAGGACAACCAGCCCAATCAGAATCAGAGAAAGAATGAATGTCTCTAGATGAGCACCGTCGTATGCGTAAACCATGATCAACTGTTCCCTTAACATACCTGAGTACCCGTTTGAGTTGCTCCCAGTGTGATATGGTGGGAGCATGCATATGCTGGCATAACTGATTAACTGCAAAGGATAGGTCAGGTCGTGTGACAGTGAGATATTGCAGTGCTCCAGCTAGACTCCTGTACTGTGTGGGATCATCATATAGATCTGAATTGAAGGGGACAGTTTTCGAGACAGAGATAGGTGTAGAAAGGGGTTTGCATTCAGGCATTCCAGCCCGTTTTAAAATATCATTCATATACCGTTGTTGAGATAAAATAATCCCATTGTTACTCTTAACTGTTTCAATACCCAGAAAGAAATTTGGTTCACCAAGATCTCTGATTTTGAATGTAGCAGACAGTTTGGACAAGAGCTGAGACATAATACCCTGATCACTTCACATTACAAGAATGTCATCCACGTACACCAATAGATAAACCAAAACAGAGTCTTTAGAGTAATAGAACAGAGAGACATCTGTCTTGGATGCTTGAAAGCCAACCGATAGTAAGAACGTATGTAGTCGATTAAACCAAGCTCTGGGAGCTTGTTTTAACCCATACAGAGATCTTTTTAACAAACAAACATGATTCGGGAAGTTAGCATCAATATAACCAGGGGGTTGCTTCATATAAACTGTTTCAGCCAGATTACCATTCAGAAAAGCATTATGAACAGCTAGCTGTTTGATAGACCACCCAGATGATAAAGCTAGAGATAGAAGGATTCTTACAGTCGTAGGTTTTACCACTGGACTAAAAGTGTCGAAGAAGTCCTGACCTGGAACCTGATTAAAACCTTTCGCAACCAGCCTGGCTTTATGCCTTTCAATAGCACCATCAGCCTTTCTCTTCGTACGAAACACCCATTTACAGCCAATAATATTCATACCTGCAGTGGGTGGAACTAGAGACCATGTGTGGTTATGCAGGAGAGCATTGAATTCTTGGTCCATGGCTTCACGCCACTCAGGATATTTGACAGCTTGAGAGTGACATGTGGGTTCCGTGGGATGCACCTGAGCTGCTAGAGCAAAAAGAGGAGCATCTGCGTTGCTGCGAGTGGCCATAGAGTGAGTACGGACATTGGGCCTGATGGACGGCCCACGTGGACGGCCTCGCCGGCGAGCAACAGGCTCCACAGGATCACCCGACGAGGCAGCCTGTCCGGGATCCACGGCTGGTTCGAATGAAGCAGGTAGCGGCGGTTCTGGC